CCTTCAGTGGTGGCATTTATCGTTCTTCTTCATTGATCGCCGTTGATGTATCGGTTCGCTGTGACGTGTAACGAGACTTTAATTCCCAGCATCAACAGGCCGATGGGTGGCCAGTGGGGCTTTGAGAGCAGTTTCACTGGAAGCCTGTTTGTCCCCATGGCCGAAAGCTCGCCGACAGGGCGGCAACTGGAAAAGGATGTCGAGAAGTTTGCGCTTCAAGTCCCCAATTAACGCCGAGCCTGCGAGCCGGCGACGACTCAGAGACGTGGGTTAGTCCGCGAGCCACGGAGATGAATATTTGATCCTCGCCGCTTTTGCTGCTTCCGCCGGCGCCGTCTCCGCTCAGCTGACCTCATTGCGACCGCTGGAGCACCGTTTCCTCGAGGACAATCACTCAGCCGCTCACCAGCCGATCGGACAGTCTCGCCTAGCAGGATCGTTGTGAAAAGCCACGTCGCACAGATGTAGCTCGGAAAATCGGTGGAATTTTCGTTTCGAGACCGGTGACGAGATTCCGGAAAACGCATCGCCACAAGTCACGAATAGGAGGCTGGCTCGTCGTGCATTGAAAATTCCGACACTGCGAAGGAGAGAGCTTTCCGAGCTCTGTTCCTCAACTCAGTCGAACGGAGGAATTTCACTTTTGCTTGTCGCAGGCTGCCGGTCGCAGACTGCTCGAGCATTCGAGGGCAACAATGACCATGGTCGAAGCAACAGCTGTTGTTTCAGCTGGGGTATAATTCATTGTTGAAATCTTGGTATCCCAGCGTATGAATATAGATGTAGTCCACGTGTGATCCCAATAAAGACCTTGCCGGTCGTCGTCCAGGACAGCGGTACTCGTTGTCTTCCACTCCAGCTGTCCTCCTCGTTCCCTGGCTCTTGTTTCGCGACCGCGACGTATGAATCTGTTACACGCTATATTAGCTCGGGTATAATGTTAGCCAGCGCACTGCCCGACTGGCTTACAAGCGCGTCGGCTAATGATACGACACAAGGTTCGGACAGCGTTCACTGTTGGTCATGACGTCATGACCAAATGGATTCGGTTTCATCTTGTCCTCGCTTTGATCATGAGCATTCGCGGGCGGCCTCGAAATACTCCCGCACCGTAGTCAATCGAAATATCGTCAGAGGGAGAAAAAACACCCCGCGCAATAGGAGTGCGTCTGTCACATGTCCGGAGTACTCGAAAGGTTCTCGACGTGCGTCAATACTGTCTTGACAACGTGGCGCTACCGTGCCCGATGAATGGGAGTGATGCAACAGAATACGAACAACATGGGAAACAGGAAGTGCTCCAGGGAGAGGACACCGTTGGCGTAGAGTGAAGAGCTTTGCGAAAAGGCCACGTAAGAAGTTTGAGCTCGCTTCGGGTGGGTTTGAATACACACCCTTAGAGGTTCGGATAAAAAAGCGTCGCGAAATAGCCGCGTGTTCCGCTGTGCGAGAACGTTTTGTGTCGCCGACGACGCTGCTTCCACCGCCAAGAATCCCGCTGTGATTCACACAGAGCATTAGGTGTGTCTCAACGGGACGGGTAAGCTCGGCAGCGAATACACGCTACAGTGTATCTTTTCTTGTCGCGCGGGGGGAGGCGTAGGAGTCGGCGCGGAAGATGGCAGCCCAGGATAGTCTCGATTTCGCTTGACAGCTTCATATTTTCAAGATCCTCAACAAAGAGTGTGCCAGGTGCAGCACATGTGTTGCAACAGTCCCCCTCCGGCGGCGCGGTCCTTTGTCGTGGCCTCCCCGCGGACCGCCACCCCTCATTCTCGTATGTTCGTGTTTTCGTCTCAATCACGGTCGGGGAGTGTATGTATGTGCAAGTGATCCGGCTGAGCGGGCCGTCTAGTGGGGACTTGCAGCTCGAGAAGGCTCCAGGGTGTGTAGGCAAGCGCGCGGGCGACTGACCCACGTAGTGCAGAGCGAGCGAGCGAGCTGGGGTGGAGAGCTTTTCATTCATTCAGCCAATCGCTCACTCGCTCCGTAGTTACGAGGAACATCGGAATTTTCTCGGGGCGATACATTATTTCATCCAAGCTGAGCGTATTTGAAGCTCAAGTTTGTTTCTTCGCTCGCTCCTCTCTCCCCAATCGAGAGCAATGATTAAGGCGGGAACATGAACTCGTGCGCGGATGATATCAGTCCGAACTCAGGTGTTCCAATCAAACCCATCGTCTCCACCGCGGAAAATAAAGCGCCTCTACACGTCCGTGAACAACGAGAGCGACTCCAAGCGAACGTGCGATCGTGAGGGGAAGGACAGGGTTAGCGTCGATTCGATTCCTCCGTTGATTGCGGGACGGAAGACTCGATAGAAATTGCGGGGAGCGCTGGGTGGAACACAAGTTTCGCTGCAAAATGCCGACGGTCGTTAAATCTCTCTCGAGTGTTTTCGTTGTCTGTGTGTCTCTCTATCAGCCGCCCGCTCGTTCTGAGCTCAGACTTGTGTTCGGTCCGAAGAACCCTTGAGTTCCGCTCGGTGGACATCGTTCGTTTTCGAGAGCTTCCAACACCACCATCGGTCCTCCTTTTATACCACTCTACCAGCATGAGCGGCATGATCCGAGAAGTACGGATGCTTAAACAGTCCCTTGTGAGCTGATGGCTGAGCGAGCGGAGTACGTTCGACTTATTCGTCTGCTTTTGGATGACGAGTTGATCCGGTATTCGCGGAATGATGAGGAGAACGGCGATGCGAGCTGTGTCGATCTCCAGCGACGGAGGAGATGGATGTGCGGTGAATCTGAGGGTATGGAGCATCCCACTCGCTCTCGGAAAGAGAATTATTGAGAAACGGAGTTCCGGGGCAAAAATTATTTACCTTCTCTCCCTCCCATCCCGACAAACGGGCGTCGCATCGAGACTCGGATTCGTATCGGCGCGCCGTGCTCGAAAATTGTATTTATTGGTCCGCCGGCTTATTCGATGAGACAAGTGAATGTCTGGGGAGAGAAGCCGAGATTGGGAAATGCGACCTCTCCGGCAATTCCGAGGGCTATCAAATCTCCTATCGATGCATACACGACTCGCTGAGGGATTTATATTTTCGGATCTCGCGGAGCGCGGGAAGTTGTCGCAGAGGGAGCCCTCCGTTGCTCGGTCGATAGCAAGTTGCTCGTCGTAGCCGACTCCTGCACGCTTGTTGCCGCTTCTCGTTGTCCTTGCACAAAGGAATCGATGTTTCCCTTTACTATGAATCACCCGCGTCCATTCATCTTGGCCTGCCTCCCCATCACATTGGTCGAGACGCTGAGCAGTTTAAGTCGCTCATACCGCGCGGGGCAAAGCCGACCTATCGCATGGTTTCTCTTATACATACACATATTTAAAATTGAATTTGGAGGACGCGAGTCTCGACGAGTCAGACAGATCAACGTGGCGAGGGAAAGAGAACGCAAAACCAAGACTCGGTGAAGAGTCATTCCTCATTCCTTCCTTGTAGGATAGGCTTACTAGGTACCTAGGTAAGGTAGGTACCTGAAGATTCGTCTCTCGGATCTCGAACTTAGTACGAGACATTCGGAATTGTCCCCAATAGGGATCTCGTCTGAAGGAACAGCCGTCCTGGTGCGAGAATGATTGTGTGCTCAACTAGTCCTCCTTCCGCCAACCGATTCCACCTCCTTCCGAGGATCATCCACAATCGTTTCCTTCTGCTACATTCTTTCCACGATCCATCCGTGTACACCCCGATCCCTCCATTCTAGAAGACCATCGGACCGGCGGCGACTTCCGAAGAAAAATATCAAGACTCGAAGTTTTCCGGCCTTTTGTTATAGAGAGCGCGTCAGTCGTCATTGGGCTGCTGCTGCTACGGCCACTACTGCCATCGCCGGTCTTCCTCGAGACGCCGTTGTTGATGATACGCGGGTTCTCGGAGACGGGGGATGGGACGAAGGAGACAATTATACTCGTGATGATTTCGATCGACCCAATGCGAAATGTACAAATGATGAGCAAGTGAACCTCATCAAACGAGTGAGTGAACCGGCCAGTTAACCTGATTGCCTGTTCACGGCCGCGTCGAGTGAGCGAAATGGATCCGGGCACGCGAGTCGCTCTTCCGCGATTAATAACGAGTTGAAGGCCGCAAATGATTTCTTTTCTCATTTTTTCGCTGGATTCTCCAGTGTGTTGTCGCCTATCAACGAACACGCTCAGACACACCTGATGCTCGCGTGTGTGCGTTAGTTTGCGCCGGCGTTCCGTTGTCTTCGTCACCGCGGTGTAAGTGAACGTGAAGAATTTGAAAATTTCGCTCTTTATTGTCTTCCATTTGCGCGTGAGCGAGACAGATAGCGAACAAGCGGGGAGCAGCGACTGACTGAAGGAGGGACCGACCGGTCGAGGGACAGAGTGACGGACAGAGGGGAACGGCGCGGAACTTGCATTCTTTCTCCGCAGCAAGGCGTGGAGTAATTGTCCACGAATACATTTATCACTGGGAAGGAGGAAGACGGTCGGAGGAAGAAGAGAAAAAAACTCCTCCAAAGTCTTCAATCGAATTTTGAACGGGACCGGAACTCACATACATACACTCGAGCCCACATACATACGTCTTCTGTCTGGCGGTCTGACAGTCGAACGGACGGACGGGCGGACTAGGAGCGGGCGACGCTCAGATAGACAGGAAATTTCAACATCTGACTGTTTACAGCAATCGGGCTGAAATTGATGGTCAAACACACATGAACGAATTCCGGAATGTCGAATACGAGACGGCCTCGAATTTCCCAATTCGACAGCCCGACTCAGCGTTCGCCGACTCCTGCATAATTTCTGATCCCGAGTAGGTTGGTGAAATCCCCCGACATGATACGTGGGGATCCTCTCAGCCTCCGTTCCTTCCGCAGGTGGCCAGCTACTGTCCACGAGAAAGACTCCCGATTCTCCACGAAATTCTGTCCGACAGCCGCCCAGGTCTCAGAGAAGACCTCTCGCTGAGCTTTTGAATTTAGGGCTCCGTGGAGTGGATGGGGAATTTGACAACTGACCTTTCACTGCGGTGACAAGAAGCGCAACGACGCAGAAGTACCACCCCAAAACCATGCCGTGGGACGTGAACGCCATTACGAAGCTTCGGAGCGCGTGTTGACTCTTCCGTCTTCGAGCACTTCCGGAAGTCAAATCCTCGTCACAATGGCTCCGCGTTCATGTTCCCTGGAAACGAAATGAAAAACTTCATTAGGAATACGTCGAAGACTGGAGGAATTTCCACGCGAGATTCCTCCGAGCGGGATGTATCATTTTCGTCTCGAATCTTCCGAGATTCGGCATCTGAACGAAGCTTGCGATTTCCCAGGGAAACTTCTGTAAATTTTTTGCATCGTTTACTCCTCAGCCTGGAGCCGCTTGTTCGGAGACGATCAATTCTCTCCCCGCTCTTTTTTCGGCTGCAAGAATCCGTTTAACACGGAGACCTTCTCGGTCTGCGCCTCACCTCCCCTTTTACAACCTGAGCCGGATTCAACTTTTCATCCTCGTTTTAGTTTTTTCCGGCACCTCGGCTTTTATATCCTTCGTTTCGCCGGCGAGGAAGCAAATCCTCAGGCCTTGCGGCTTGGTTATAGTAGTCTCGCGGATGTGCTCGTCTCTATATGCCCCTGTGTTTGTGAGCGGAGGAAGGATCGTCTGGAAGACGCAACGCTGTTTCTCCTCGGCCTGGTTTCGAGCACACCCTGGACCGCGGGCTTCGACTCTGCGAGAGGAGCTCACTCACTCAGGCATCGTCGGCGGTCAGCTATGCAATCTACTCACAGGGCCTGATTCCATATTCCATTGCTCTGCTAGTGATGGTGTCAGTGTCGACGGTAGTTTTCGGTGAGGCAGACGCGACGGAGCTTGAGGTGGCGGCGATGACGGCCACAAGAGTCGCCGGAGCTCTCGTCGAGGGTCAGTTCCCCGCACTAGTAGACACAAAGGATTACTGGGAAGCTTGCGGGCTCTTTTCCTCGTCAAGTTTACTCTTTTTCCCATCCCCGAAGAGGGGAACGAGCCACCGGGCTGGCTCTCTCGCTCCGGGAGCAGACCCGACGCGTGGTGTACGATTCGGCTCCGGTGTTCTCGCAAACAGACTTCCGAAGGGTCCGAGCGAAAGCCGGATCAACGCTTGGGGCAAATTGGCGCAATCTGTCAGCCCGCTCAGGCGAGGGCCGTTCCAGCCACCAGCGAATGGATTCACGGACTCGACCGCGGACCACCTGACTCCGGGACATAAAGTGAATTCCGCAGCCATGCCCTGGGACCTCTTCCGCTTGGAACGCTCGAACTGATTGAAGTTTTCGACCCCTGAGCTCACAATCGGTTAGTCAGCGATGGGCATAGGCAGAGTTGGATCCACATTCCGTTCTTCTGCATGCTGGAGCTCTATTTTCCCGGAGAGCGAGTTCCAGCGATTTTCTTTTTCCTATTGATTCCGAGATTCGTCGCGAACCTCGGGGATTTGAGCGCGCAGACCTTCTCGTGAAGCGGCGACAACACGCACCACGGCCCGGCCCCCGTGTGGTTTCGTAGTAAGAGTCGGTTACGAGATTCTTTCGAGAACCACGCCCTGGATCTAGAGTGAAGTCCATCAAGGCAGCGCTCGCTTCCTATTAGACGAAGACAATGGCAACGACAATGGCAGAAGCAACGGCTGGGGATTTGAGGTTAAATTTCGCGTCTTGAACATCTGGTAGTCAGGTCGGCGAGCGGTCGACCTCGCAGTGTTCCACGCTTTTCCTCTAACATAGACATCGCGCGGCGAAAAAATACGAGAGGGAACTAACCAAGCAGCTCGGCATATGAAAAAAGAAAACGCGATTTGCGATCCATAAAGTACCTTTTGCCGGGCCCGATGATGGAGTGCGCACGCGAGACCACGTTCTGCGGCTACTGGCTCGGAGGTTCTCACTGTTTCCCTTCGAGTAGTTGTTCACTGTGTTTTTGTTTTTGCTCTCTGGATCTGCATCGTGATAGCTCTGTCGGAAGCATCGCGTCGAAATCACGCGTACCACCGACGTCAAGTTAGAAGCGCAAGCGTTTCACCTCGCCCGCGTGGCCGTTGTTCAGAACGTTTCTGTCGCTCACTCAGCGAGAACGTGGAGGGGAGAGCTAGAGAGAGACAGAGAGCGGACGGAGCACTCATTGCTCCCCGAGGACGTCCACTGAGGGGAACACCGAGGCGGAGGGACCGAAAGAGTAAGAAAAGAAACACGCGCACTTAGCCGAGTCATCGATCAGAGCGTCGAACGTCTGCGCGATGACGAAGGCCACGGCGACCTCCGTTTGCTTCAAATGTGCCGCGACGAACACCGACCCACGGTCTGGCGCTCTGGTGCCAATCTCAGCCTCTCCATGTTTCCAGCCGCGGGGTCGATTTGGGATCAATCTTTCGGATAATAAGGGATCAATCTTTCGGATAATAAGGGATCATTTGCTTTCGTGCTTTCTCAAGAATGCAGCGGTTTCTCAGTCCTGGTCGTTCGCTTGCTCGCCCCCCCCCAAGGGCTCCTCCTCCTTCTTCTCTACTCTGTCTCCTCCCCACCCCTCATCGTCCATTTCGATTTTTTCTTGTCCGTGGAACGAGGTTGGAGAACAACGCATGAATGTTGAAGAAGGAGAACAGTGGCAGAAATCGCGCGAAAATGCATCGATCCCACTCTTTTCCGGTGCAAGCCATGGCTGCCTGTCACGAGTTGGCAAGCCTGTCTACTTAGTCAGTCTCATTTAACGCTTCGACTCGGGTACGTCTAGACTTGACGCTTGTTTCCTCCGCTCTTCGAGGGGTGCTGCGGGCGGAGCGGAGAATCGAATAAGCGTAAGATAGTAGGTGCGAGAAGATGACGGGGAGTCTCATCTCGAACAGAATTTTCGGATTTCGCGCGAATCTTCTTTGTCTCGCGCTTTTCCCCGCTCCCACAGCCGTCACGATGTTGCTAGGGAGCGAGGCGGTTCTGAATCGACAGCTATTGCTCGATGTGCCCGGTGTATCAGAGAATCGCATCATACGCCATGAACTCGCGGAAATACTTCCTAGGACAGCGGAAGTTTTTTTCCTTCGTCATTCCCAAGACGCCATTCTTCTGGGTCCGAGGTACCCCAGAAACCCCAAGATGTTGGCGAATGACCTTGCTCGAGTGCGTTCACCACGTAGGACTCGGCTCTTCACCTCTCCGAAAGATACAAAGAATTGGCACTGGCGATAACTCGATCGCCTCTCTCATTAGTGGCACGGGTCGGGGGCAGACCCTATGGCGAAAAGTCCGAGGGACAGCTCTTGAGCTCAACTGGAGTCTACAGGAGAAATAGGTGAATATTCCGACGAGCCCCCAAATCAATATGCGAACAAACCGTCAAAAGCGGATTTCTTATGTTGAAAAGCAAGTCGTCTGCCTCGCCCAACGAACGCAACACATCGCGCAATTGTGGGCGACTCGGGTGTTATGTCATTTTCCGAAAAAATTCCCACACAAAAAAAACACCCGCATTGAAGCGTCAAGCAGGGCGGGTATTTGTGTTCTCTTCTCGATCCATTACAGGCCGTATCTCACAAGAGCCTACTCGGGCGCGGTTTGAAGCGTGAGAAGGCCGAGTGGCAGGATATATCAAAACTGAGTCCGGACACTCGTTGGCGTGACGGCTCCGGTCGCAGTGGTTGCTCTAGGTTTTCCCTTGTCCCTCGCTCGCCCAATTGAGAAGCGGAGAAGTTTTCCGAACCAATCCTCTCCGTGTTTTCGCTTGTTCCGGTCTTCTGTTCTTCTCACGTACATTCGTCCGCCTCTTCTGTGCGTCTCCCGATATCTCCAAGTTTCAATCCCGTCGCGGGGAGATCCTTACCAGAGTCAGAGACTCGCCGTTCATCGTGTCGCTCACGCTGTTTGAGGATCTTCCTCAAGCAGCACCGTAGCACGAGATTTCCGCGTCACGCGACGGAATAAGACGTCGGTACCGCCGCCTTCTCGTACAAGTAGCCCTTCAGCAGTCTTGTCGCTTTTTTCTTCTTTCTCTCCTCTGGCCGAGAACGCTCCTCTGCGAGACTATGAGCGAGGAGTAGACAACGTCCAGTTGGCTCACACGCAGGATGGAAATTCCGCACATTCTCTCACAGCAGCACTCTGTCCGGGGCTGGTTTCGGAGGCATGGTCACAGCGAGTCGGGCACGCCAAGACGGGCGAGCCGAACAAACGAGCGGGGGTGGACGAGCGTGCGAGTGAGAACGAGATTGTGAGAAGATGGCAAGAAGCGAAGCTCTCTCTTGTCAGAGAAGCCCCGTCTGCTAGTTGTCGCTTTTGCTTCTGACGACACCGAAAGCAGCTTCAGCAAGGTCTTTCTCGTCTCCCCCCTGCGTACAACAACGTTGTCGTCATCGTCGGCGACGCCGGCCGGAGCCGCCGCTGTCGGCAAGTCAGACGTGCCTGGCATCCCCGGCTTCTTCGGACTACCGAGTGTCAGATCCGGTCGGTTCTCTTGCTCTTGTTGCTCGTTCACTATGAGCGCAATACGCCATAGAGTTTACGTCATGTTTTTCCAGTGATACGGGCGAGGTAACTCAATCGGAGGGCATTTCGAATCGATCATCGCTCTGTACTCTGGCCGCGACCCTCACGCAAGCATCGAACCCGAGGCTTGCTCCTGACACTCCTGAAATCAGACGCCTCCGAGGATTACGACTTCATGACTTATCGCTCTCCGTCACTGACTGACGTTGTTCGCTTCGGATCCGTTTTTCCGCCCTTCTGGTACTCCAGAAGAATGGCTGGAGGATTCCGAATCTCAAGTTCAATGATCGCAAGAGTCGCTTGCCCGGGAATCGACTGGATCTGAGTCGGTCCGATCCTGCGGAAATTGTGGAAACCCGGCCCCAGCGGGATAAGTCCGATGTTGTGACACTCGAAGCCACTTTGGTGGAGTATCCTTCCTCTCTTTTCATCGAACGCAATTTTTTCCTCCAGTGATTTTCCGAGCGGGCCCGTTGATCAATGTCTGAGCAGGCGCGGACCCGCGCGGTCTGGCAGAGCAATGATGGATGGCAGAGCGGGCAGTTATCTGGCGATGCATGTTCAGTTGCTCAAATGTTATCACCGCCATCG